TATTATCTCCTTCAAGAACTGCTATTCCCTTATTTTCTATTGACAAGTCTGATTTATCTATAGTCTGTTGTGAGATTGAGCAAATCTATTGTTTAATGTGTATGAGTTAAGTGATATGTTTTTTCACCAAATATTTGTATTTTGGATAATTTACATTTTAAATGTTCATATTTAGTACATTTTTAGCTGAATGTTTTTTTAAGAGCTTCTGATCAAACTCTAGTTCTTGACCAATTTCATTCAAATTGTAAGAAACATTATCTGGTTACTCATTTCGTTTTCCTCCTATTGTCACTGTATAACAACCACAAGAAGTATCATGCGAAATCAGAACACTTTGTACTAAACTTGTTATGGTTCTGTTATTGTAACAGTTATTTGGTCTTGGGGTGGCCAACATTTGTGGCTCATTCTTTTCAATTTACCCTACAACAGGTGGGTTTGGAATATTATATGTGGCTTGATCAATTTCATATTTGCATCTTTCAAAATTTCTACCAGCTGGTTTCTGACGAAGCTCCTCTTTCCTTATGCCATGTTAGGCTCTTTTTCTAGATCAGCTGTAAATCATGAAAGTGGAGCGAAAACGGGCTTATCAGGGCTTGTGATGGGAATTATAATGGGTTGTGCACTATTATTCTTGACTCCTGTATTTGAGTACATACCTCAGGTAAAGGAGTTTGTTTGAAGGTGTAAAGTTTTCACCTGACTGTCGGTAACTAGATTGCTTTCAACTGTCACATCATTGGGAGCAATTTTTCCAGTCTCTTGGCCTCTATCTTGGCTCCAATTTGTAACGTATGCTATGGTTACTATTATGACAAGGGAGGATAACCTATTGGGGTTTTGAGTCCATATGGAGCAAAATGGGGAAACAACCACTATTGAGCTCCTGTTCTTTTACTTTTCTTTGTGGAGTGGGTGGGTGAGGGTGGAGTCCAGCATGTCCAGAAAAAAGTGAGATGTAATCATCTTTTATCTGTTTATACAATTCATATTTTAAGTGCATTTCTGTATCAACGATCTAGGAAGGTCGAAGACAATAAATATGAAAATACATGTTTCATATTTCTAACCTAAGATTAAACAAAAGGATGTTGGACACTATAGAACTTTTCATAATTGCATGCTTGCAGTTTTCTGTTCAACATTTGACAATTTCCTGTCTTAGTTATGATATTTTAAACTCTTCCATTTCTCACTATTTTTATTTATTTGTATTGCTGTGGCAGTGTGCTTTGGCTGCGATTGTGATATCTGCTGTAATTGGACTGGTATGTTGGCCATCATCTACCCCAAAATGATGTGTTCCATCTTATATTTTCAAAGTTCCCATTCTTTTGAATTGACTTCTCCATATGCCAGATATAATTTTTAGTTGAAGTTAACAGCATCAGCAGTTAACTAAATACATCAGCAACTACTCAATCATGCTTCATTGGGTTTATCATGTCATAGTTCTCTTATGTATCTAGTTGGCTTGCTTGGATTTTTGCATTATATGTTTTAAAAGATTGGTGTTTCAAATACTGACCAGCAAGGGAAAAACATCCTGCATACCTTACCTTTTTTTTTTGACGCAAGGCTAATTAGCAAGTGTTATATAGGAGCATTTTCCAGTTCATTGTTTGATTGTCCTGTCACTCTATTGATATTTTCCCTGGGAATTATTGCTGTATGATCAGATAATATCGAGTCATACAGTATTCACGGGAGCTGAAGAGGAAGTAATACTCTTTCAGCTGTCAAGGATCATTTCATTTGAGGATTTGCATTTATAATTCCCTGAACAGCTCTTAGTTATCAGTTTCCTATTTGTTTTTATATGATTCCTATCCACTTCTTTGTTTATTTTTTAATTACTTTCTCTAAGCACACCACATTCCTGTAAGATATTCACAACCTTAAAGCATCATGGATGAAATTCTTGTTCAGGTGCTGACTGTTTTAGGATCAAGTAAGACCACATTCTGTATTTCACTATAAGCACATATAAATGAACTTTAGCTGCAGCAAATATCATGTTCAGATTGTAAAATTATATTCATGTTACCATTTTTTCTCATTTCAGGTGGATTACGACGAGGCTAAATTTTTGTGGCGTGTTGACAAGAAAGATTTTCTGTTATGGACTATCACTTGCATGACAACCTTGCTTCTAGGCATAGAGATTGGTGTCCTTGTTGGGGTTAGTATTTATCTGTAATCTGACTTAAATATATTTAAAATTTCATTTTGGATGTTCAATTAAAGTTTTTTCATACACTATAATTGAGAACTATCTTTTCCTGTTCAATCAACTGTTTGTTGCTACGAGCTTGGCCTGCGTGTTAGTTACATAATTTACAGTGTTCAAAGTACAATCACTTAGCAGGAAATGCTTGAAGTTAAATTCATTAACTTAAATGTTTTGCTGTATTTGGTTCAAGTCCAATGCCTTCTTTATTTTGAAATTTCACATAATGGGAGTCAAAACAAAGACCTGTTGCTCCAATTCTATAACCAGAAAAAGAACCTGATGATATGTAATGAAGATGTTAATAGTTCCAATATACTGGCTGATAACTTTTATGTAGGAAAAATATATTTATGATCTTAAGAATAAACTCAGCTTGCCAACTTTTTTTGGTCTCATTTGTTCACAGGTTGGCGTGTCACTTGCTTTTGTTATTCATGAATCGGCAAATCCGCATATTGGTAAGTTCCTGCAATCGCCCCTACCTTGTAATTGAATCACTGACTTAGTTATTATATGTTCATTGCCAGCACGATTCTTAAGCTTTTCATAACACTATCCTGTAATTGAATCATTGACGTCTTCATGTTGCCATTGCTATTCTTTGGCGTGTCCCCTAAATATTCAGGTCAATATAATGTTTTATCTGGATCTTCTCTCATCCCTCTTTCAAATTTTTCATTTTCTTGGCGACTCTTCAGTCCTTACGAGTATTTCTTTTCCCCTAGGTGTTTACTGCAGCGTTTCAAGATAATTAAGTACTTGATGTTTAAAAGCAAGCGCAAAGTTCTGTTATTTTTTTCCTTTAGGTCAATGCCTTATAATTGATGTAATTTTTATGACATGACTTGCTTTCAGCTGTCTTGGGGCGTCTTCCTGGAACTACTATTTACAGAAATACTCAGCAATACCCCGAAGCATATACATACAACGGTATTGTGATTGTTCGAATTGATGCACCTATATACTTTGCGAACACAAGTTACATAAAAGACAGGTGAGAACACTGTCTTTTCTTTTTCTTTATTTTTCCACAAGACGACAAGTTTTTCCCTTGAATTCAGTGTTTCTGAAGCATGGACTAAACCGTGAAGGTTCTATTGCTTTCAGCAAATTATATCCTACATGTCACTGTGAATCTCTTTTATTTCTTGCACAGGTTACGGGATTATGAAATTGAAAAAGAGGAATCTAAAGGTCGGGGACCAGAAGTTTCAAGAATTCATTTTGTGATCCTTGAGATGGCCCGTAAGTCTCCACGAGTTGGCACAACCTGAATGACTAAACGATAATGAATTTACCATGCATATTTCCTTTGCTATGTTTTAATAGTGCCAAAGCTTCTTCTCGTACAGTTTTTCTTAGACAAGTATAATGCTTTAGGGGTTGAGCACACTATTATCTGCCCTTTGTTTCGTCATACTAAACATAATTCACGTGTCTATTCCAGCTGTTACGTATATAGATTCCAGTGCTGTTCAAGCTCTGAAAGAGCTCCATCAGGAATATAAATCGCGAGACATTCAGGTTGAGAGTGTCTCTCTTTTGCTAAGACTGTACAAATATGCATCCCAAACCTACTTTCCAGCCTAACGATAACATGTGTTGTATTGCAGCTAGCCATTTCCAATCCCAACCGCGAAGTTCTACTTACCCTAGCTAAAGCTGGTGTGGTTGACCTGATTGGGAAAGAGTGGTACTTTGTCCGAGTTCATGATGCAGTGCAAGTTTGTCTTCAGCATGTTCAGCGGTTAACTGAATTTCCAAAGGCACACGACTCTTTGGCAGAAAACAAACCAAGCTTGTTCCAGAGGCTTCTCAATCAAAGGAAAGACGAATTTTTTCAACCTGAACTCGAATCTGGTGTCCACGAATCCCTTCTTTCCAAGGACATCAATCCTCAACTCGAGCCACTCTTATCAAAAAAGACATGATGACGGAGACTGCTTCCTTCGAAGATGTATCAGTATGTATGTTATATAATGTTTTCCGACTTTGGTTTGATTGATTGATTGATTGACTGTAATTAGCTTAGACTTCTGTTGAGCAGAGACAGAGTTATTTATCATATGTTATTAGATGCCAGTGCAAATTTTCTGTACATCACAGTGGAAATAAAAGAAAAGCATATTGTTGATATCATTTCAATTTGCATTGCAAAATCATAATATTGTACAGTTTGAAGGGGTGTGTTGGATATAGAGGGAAATACTTTTCAATTTCTCTACGATTGGTTCGTTTTAAAAGATATTTCTCTAAAAAAAGCAAGTTCATGATACGAAGAAAAAAGTGAAATAAGTTACGTATCTCACATTCAAACCCCTTCCCCACCATCATCCTCCACCCCCACACCCCTATTATTTATCAAACACCACAAAATAGGTAAGAAAATTACTTTTTTTTTTTGGTTTTACTACGTACCAAAAGTGCTATTGTTAAAAAATTATTTTTTGTAAGATAAATTTCCGCTACTATTCAAACAACAACATACCTATTGTGATCCTTCCTTCTTTCCACAAGTGAGGTCTGAGGAGAGTGATACGTACACAAACCTCACCCCTCCTATCTTTGTGGTGTTCTCGAAAGATCTTCCAAAAGAGATAACTACTCAAAATACACCAAGGAAGAAAAAAAAAACAATTCATTCACTTTCAATTCTAAAGAGAGAAAAAAACAAACAATCTAGATTCCCACATCGAAGATTGCAAATATTATGAGTGATACATGAGTATTATAAATACATAGCAAGTATGACTACTTTTAATTGCCTTAAACTAATGAGTAAGGAAAACAAAGCGGGCGGTGAGAGCCGGCCGCAGCGCATTTTATAATTAACACTTTTAGTGTTTAATTGTAGCGCAAGAATTTGTGGAGGGGTTATAGGCTGGCCAAGTGTTGACGCTGCCTACTTAGCAGAACTCACTTGTGCGGGCCTCCCAAAACCCACCCCTAATCCATAGTCTTAAAAATATTTTTATTATTTGGTTTAAAAATTGGTATTATCTATTTTGTTTATAAATAATTTATCACAAATTAAGATTATTTCAACCTGTGAAAATTAGAATTTGGTTTATAAATTGGTAAGTTTATATAGTAGGTTAATATTGTATATTGTTTTTGTTTAGATAGGGTATTAGAATGGTTAATTAGATGGTGTAATTTAGTATTGTTTTTGTTTTAGATAGGTTTAGAATGATATGTATACTCGAGATGGAAGGTTAGTAAGTAGTTTAGTATGAGATAAGATTTAAATATTAGAATGGATTCAATAGGTACTTTAGTATTGTCTTCGTTTAGATAGGTTTAGAATGATGTGGTAGGAGTTAATTTTAAAATGATAGGTTAGTAGGTAGTTTAGTATTGTTTTTGTTTAGATCGGTTTAAGACTATGTAATCGAGCTAATTAGATAGAATATGATGCGGATTTAGAGATAAAGAAGTCATTACGATTGTAGTATGGATGGTAGGTTAAAATAGGTAGCTTAGTATTGTTTTTGTTGAGATAGGTTTTAGACTATATGATCGAGTTAATTAGATAGAATATGATGCAGACACGGATTTAGAGATAAAAAAATTTATTAAGATTGTAGAAAGGATAGTAAGTTAATAGGTAGTTTGATATTATTTTTGTTGAGATAGGTTTAGACTGATGTGGTTGAGTGAATTAAAGATAGAATATGACGCGGACTTGAATTTAGAGATAAACAAGTTATTAAGGTTGTATGCCAGATGATAGGTTAGTAAATAGTTTAAGTATTGTTTTTCTTGATATTGCTTTAGACTGATGTGATCGAGTTAATTAAATAGAATATAATCTGGACATAGATTTAGAGATAAATAAGTTTTAAATCTGCTTCGATATGCTTTATTTGAATCGATGTTTTTCCAGAAATAGTCTATCTAACCTCCTACAAGACAAAATACTAAAATCAACATTCTATCTTTTTCCGTATCCCATTCTATAAAATTACACTAAACGAATATATATTATTGTAGAATCTCCTCTCGTGTCAAAAATAATTCGACAGTTTAATATTCATTACAACAAAACGAAAAAATTATTTCATTCTATTTAATATAATTTTCAATCGAACGAACGTAATTAAAATTTACTAGGCTTTAGCTCCGCCCCCGCGTCAAATCCATGTCCTTTGCTTCAATAGGACGGAAGTACCGTTCCCACGTGAACGGAGTTGTCCCATTGACAACTCAAATTTGGACATCTTTATTTTATGTCAAGTTAAAAATAATAGAAATAACACACATTTTCGGCTTCCTAGCATGTTATCGATCTTATTTTTTTATCACTTAGATATTATATTTTTATTTTTGCATAATTGATAATATTATTATTATTATTATGTAATTAGAAGATTAATTACAAATTTGAGATATGAAAACAATCTCTTGTAAAAATGTATATATAATAAATTTTTATAGTCTGATCTTTTTTCGAACTTCAATAATAACAACATATCTAGTGAATTTTTACTAAGTGGGGTCTATAAAAGATAGAGTACACACATACCTTATCATTACCACACATACTATTTCCGAAAGATCCTCGACTCAAGTGCATTAAATTCAAGAAAACGAAGAAGAAAACAATATATAAAACAACGTTAAAGCCTGCAAGAACAACAGTAATAAAACAGTGAAATCAAACCACAATAAACACCATAATAACAAGAACTACAAGGGTACGACGACGAATATTACGACAGACACTACTAAATATCCTAAACATTCGCAAGGCAAGACAACACTTCCACCTCTACTAACTTCCTACCCTATACGCGAACATTACGTAACAAAAGTTTAATGCATCGAACCGAACGTATCTACTTTTGAATTATTTGTCTACAGATGGACAAAATTATCAAGTGGAGGCTGCTGGCTTTGACAATTATAATCTTATAAAAGACAAAAAAATGGTCATTCACAAATCTCCTCTAATCCCCTCTCTACCAATTATCATTTATCTATCACATGGGATTCTTGGCCCTACAAAATACTATATTTCTCTTTTTTTTACACTATATAATATAATTAATCTTTTATCATAATAATATTTAATATCATACAATATAATATAATTCTTTATGCATTTGATCTCTCATATAATATTTTCTTCAACTTGCTTTTTGTGAAAGATTTGATACTAAACTTATCACGGGGGATTGCCCTGCTTCTTACATATACATGGTAACTAAAAGATTCATATTTTTGCTTATTTTTATATATATTTTTTTAATTATGATGTCTGAAATAGTTTGTGTGCATCTCAACTAATTTTACGTGATATTTGCTAAATGTTGTATAGATATCGGATAACTCTGTTCACTAACGCTTGGACAAATAGATAAAATATATCTAATATTTTTTTTATTTATGATCACTTAATCAATAATCACTAACTTCAAATTTTGATATTTTAATGAATTAGCAAGGGTCTTTTTCTTCTTCTTCTATTGATTCTATATTAGAAAGGTGATTGTAAGTTAAAAGCAACGATAAAGTTGTCTTTATATAACATATAGGTTATGAGTTTGAGCTATGCAATCAGCTACGAATGATTGCATCAGGTTAGGCTACCTACAACACACACCCTTGAATGCAAACCCTTTCTCGATCCTTTACAAACGCGGGATGCTTCATCCACCAGACTACGCTTTTTTCTTGATTTTGAATTTCAAAGGGAGTCTTGGAGCACATATATTGTCTCCATGTGAGTTCGGACCTATAGATCATGTGTCACAAGTTCGAGTTATGGAATCAGGTGATTGTGTCAAGGCAGGCTACCTAGTGCCTATGTTAAACCCCCTTGTGGTGTGGCCTGTTTTGAATCGTGCATGAACGTGGAACGCTTTGTATACCTTGATTTTGTATTTAAAAATTTGGGAACTTTATCTTTTTGGATTATTTTCCTTTTTTTTATATATTTATTATTATTATATTATTATTATTATTATTATTATTATTATGTACTAACCTAATTGTCCTTGATGTTAGGTGCAGCACCTGATAGAAAAGTGTCTAATTTTTCACATGACTAAAGAGGAATGCATAGAGGCACTTTCTAAGCATGCAAATATCAAATCAGTCATTACTATTACTGGTTAGTGTTTGTAATATTTCATCGAAATTAACTTATATACAAAGACAGTATACGGTTTTTGAATATATTTTAACCTGTTGTAACAAGTAACATGCGTTATTTTTCTCACTTATTATAGACGGTAGAGTATTTCTTGATAACCTGATAATATATTTAAAGTTAAAAGATGAATATTAACATAATGATGTTTGCTAATATGCATAATATTATTTTCTGATGAAGAACGTTCAACGGACAATCGTTCGATCTATGTAGCTACACCATTGCTAATATGGCATTTCATGTATACCTAATTGATCATGGTGATATTTATTTGTATTTTTCAGTATGGAATGAGTTAGAGAAAGAGAACAAGGAGTTTTTCGAGGCATACACTAAATCAAATAATAAAAATCGCGCAATAGAGGCAGAGGCAGAGGCGGAAGCAAGTACAATGATTCAAAATTTGTTGTTGGATCATGATCATACTAAAAAATCAGACATGGAATAACAAATAATCGTGTGTGTCGAATCCTCTAAAAGTTGTCTAATTTTAGATAATCTGATATGGATGCGACAATATTTTAGAGAGCGTTAGCAATATAGCTAGACAATAGTACTATGTGGTGTACTTTATTGAAATGTTCACTATACTATATATTATATATTTATATATGTATATATGCTAATTCAATCATGGCCATGTTGGAATCTTTTGTGTCCTCTATGAGGTGTTGCCTAATGAATTTGGGCCTCTAGTTGTCTTGTTTTGTTGTAACATAGAGTTCATGTGACATGTGTTTTTTTTGTTAGTTAGCTAATGGGGAGTTAACATAGTGGGGGCTACTTTGTTCATTTTCACATCTCAATCATGTACTTTTTTTTCCGGAAACGACCTCTCTATCTTTACGAGATAGTTTAAGGTCCATATTTACCTATTTCGTGAAATTTCACTAGCTATATTGTTGTTAATCATGCACATTTTTGGGATATGGACTTTATAATAGATATAATTCTGAATAAATTGACTAAACGTCTTACATTGATTCTCAATCTATTTATAACCCTTCATAAATCGGGTTCGGAACAATCCTCGCCTCACTCCCACTCTTTGATAGCTACGTACTAAGACGCTTCAAAAGAATGTTCACTACTTGCATTCACCTCAAGGGCTAATCCAATCTTACCCAAGATTTTTATTGGCAAAGTTTAAATTGAAACGATATGATCAATAATGATTCGTATCATCTAACCTAACTTGTTTGAAATTAACGCGTAAAATTGTCATTATAACTTAATAGTAAACGTGAAACGTCTTTGGAACTCATAGTAAGATAGGGGACGCGAATGGGGTGGTGGGTTAATTTTTTCACTCCACACTTATCTCACGAGAGATTAAAGTATTTTTGTATCAACAAGGTGTGCCCTAACGATCAATAAAAAGGATTGACTTGAGCAATTACTCGAGGTGCGTGCAAACTGACATGAACATCATTAAACAAGTGAAAAAGCTTCTCTAATATTCGAAACTTTTCAACACACTACATGTCCAATATTCTTTTCTCCTTGATCTCACTGTCTCTTTTTAACGGTCAATAACACACCTAAACTACACTTATATGGTGGGTTAAGATATCGATGTATGAAATTTACAAAAAAGTAATAGTTCCGATGTGTTTTTTTATAGCAAAAACTGAAGCAAAAGATCAACAACTAACACCTTGTTATAAATTCATTGAATGAGTGGATAGTCCATAAGATTGGTACATGAACAACCATTCATATTCACTATAGGTTACATGAACCTTTTTTGGATAAGAATGTATCTATGGTGAGCTTTGGAGTGAT